CTTGTTTTATCCCTTGTTTATAGACTGATGCTTCAGTACTAAATCATTGGAGCAGAAATGTGTTCTATTTTTTATTTTAAGAAAAAATTCAGTGCTTTCTTTGAGATTTGCATGTGTGGATTTCCCTGCTTGCTGGGCTGCCATTGCAAAAAGACACGTGCTTCTTGCTGCAGCTTGACTGACTGGCAGTGCTGATGCGTGAAGAAGAAAACCTTGATAATCTCAATTCCTTTAGCATTCTAACACAAAGAATGGCTTTATCCCTTAGAAGAGATCTGGAAACAGGTAAAGATTGTTAACAATGAATTAATAGATGTAGTGCAAATAATCAGAATGTAATAAAAGACAAAATGTTCAAGATAGCTTTTTTTCCTTTTTTTATTTTTTTTTCCCTCTTCTTTTTCTAGCATAGGGGAGGGAAGAGATGAAAGAAACATTATCCAAGCCTCCTTTTGCCATCAACCCCTCTTGAATAAAGAACAACTGGAAGAGCTGCTCTGCAGCAAATGGTGTTAGTTTCTGTGCATCAGTGTGAATTCCAAGGCTTATATGTAGGATTCAGCATTTTTTAACAGCTATATGCAAAAAGAAAAGAAAGCAAAATAAATTAGACATTTATCCACTTATGCCTGAGCAGAGACTTTTTTTTTTTTCAACTAGATAAATAAATAAAGCTGTATTTAAGTGCCTATATATAGGCTGAGGACCACTAGGATTGAAAGTTTCTGCTGGTCCCATTTCTGGTTTAATAATGGGAAACCTTCCTGTGAGGAAAATAGCAGAGAGAGTATAAAACTGATTGTTCAAGGGGAGTTCAGATTCTGGAATTGGTGCAAGTAAAAGATGCTTGCAGTGTCAAATGCTGCTTTAATGTGGCACGTGCATTAGATGAGACCCGAGCCTGTAACTGTTCTCATCTAAGCACCGCTACTATTTGGAACTAGGAGAAATTGCTGAAGTTTAAAATAAATAAAAAATTATATGTGGGAGTCTTCATCCCATATGTAGGGAACAGTTAGCAGGTATAATGGTTATCTGTAGTCTGCTAATGCATGCTGAAGAGAAAGACACAAAGAAGTCATTGCTTCATGCCCTCAGCCTGTGTCAAACCTGTGCCCATGGATATCTTCTCTCGCTGTTACAATTTCAGAGTCTAGAAAATCACTTGCCCCTCCCTAGAGTCCTTAGAAGGCTATATCCTATATAGATCAGACCATAAAGGTATGAGGGTTTCTGCTATTCTTCGTCACTTACACAACACCGAATCAATGGAAAAGCAATTTAAAAGACCCTGTGTCACTTTTTAGTGTTTTTTGTTTGTTTGATTGTTTGTTTGTTTCTATCGAGAAATTCTGCACAGGGAGAAATTTCACAGAGCTGACCTTCCAGGCTGCAGTTTTGCAGGTGCTTACTAACCTGAGTTAGGCCATTACCCCAGAACTGAAAGAGTTCAGACCTCCCTCCACTGCCCAGGCCCTGAATTAGCAGGGCATCCTGGAGTGTCCGCTGGCATCTGCCCCACTGTTCCTCAGAAACAGATTTCTTCCCTCTCCAGCTTTTGCAGATATCATGTTGTGTGTATCACGGGGGTTTAGGCCTCTAGAGCTCTTGTACTTTCTTGCCTTCCATCGTCTCTGTTTTTGGTGATCTCCCTGTGAATAATACATGCTTCATCTTCTTCTTTTAGGCAGTGGTTCAGTAATGCTGAGCTCCAGCAAAAATACAGTTTTCTACTGTGCAGCTCATGTTCCAGACTATGTTGTCTGACCACACACATGGGCATCCTCTTGCTGTTACACAAAGGCATTGTACATTGGATCACTGATACAGCTTTGTGAAAAATTGGGAGATGGGCATGTTTCTTGAGTTTTCTTGTTTTGAAGTTAGGTTGGTTCATGATCCTGCCCACAGCCCATCATAATAAGCTGTGACTCAGCTGAACTGTGTGGCAATTCTAGGGGGATGACTGGGGGCTTCCTGAGCTGGTACTGTTTGACAGAGCTGCTCTTTCCTCAAACCAGTGTAAACCAGCAGTGCTGGAAAACTTACCTGAAACTCTGGGTTTGTTCACAACGACCTCTATACTTTTGTAGAATGTCAAGGGAACCTGGTCATAGTCTTATCAAAGCTATTGCAGTAATAGAAGCACAGTCTCTCTTCAGGCTCAGGAAGATGGCAGAATATCCATTTATGTTTTTTGCAAGTTTGTTAAATTTAACCAAAGGGCAAGAATTTCAGTCTGTGTTTCTAAATCATCACCTAAATTTTGTAGAAATTGGTGCTTTCAACCCTGCTTGGCTTTCATTTTACAGGTGTCTGCATCTCTAAGATGTCTTAAAAGGTATAGTTATGGCTTCCAGTTTTAGACATAAGGAAAAGATTTATTTTTAAGGCTCAGAGGAGAAATCCAAAGGTTAACAGTTGATATATCAGATGTTGCTTGATATGTGTATCTGCTCTTTATTTTTGCATTTCCTTTTGTCTGCTCCTCCAGGTGTCATTTTGACATGAGTACATTCAAGCCTGGCACTAAGGAGTATATGAAACTTGCTTGTAGGGGTGGAGAAAAGAAACTGCAGCATCCTTGTGTGTATCTAGATGCCTTGTAAAAGCTCTTTAGAGAGTGAGAATTCAGTTCTGTGAAAAAATTTTCATAAGCACTTGGTACAAAGATGAAAACCAACATCTCTGTGCACTGTACAAGCACAAAGTACACAGATTATAGTGCAGTTAATATTAATGAAGAGAATGGTTAACTCTAATTAATAGCACAGGATAGGTGAGAAGGTTTTTGAAGCGTCCTGCTCAGAAATGGCATTAATCCAGTAATATCCAAGGAGTAAATCCTGTAATGCTTTTCTGAATGTCCTGGTTAGTCCTGAGGGTGTTTGGGCTTTATTGTTGCACATGTAATTTAATGAACTTTTTAAAAGACCTCTAGGCAACAGCCCAAACTCAGAAGGGCAGAGGGGAAAATTCTGATAGACAGTTCTACTGAGCTAGAACACAGTGGCCATGAAGGAAAAGCTTTTGAATGGGCTGATGGCTGAAAGAAGTAAAGCAACTGCACTTGGACTCACTAATGGGCTTTTTGTCCAAATTGGAGCCATCTCTTTCTTTAGGAAGCTATTTGTGTTGGAAATCAGGCCATAGCCAGGCTGCAGCAGGAAGGAAGAGGCGGATAGTTAGTGATCTCAAAAGGGTGTGCTCTGGGTGCAGAACAACAGCTGTGGAAGTAGGCTGGCTGTGAGGGCATTGAACTCTGCAAGAAAGCTTCTTCAGCTCCTTGCACTGCTGAAAATCTGGTGTCATGCTGGAGCCTTTGGAGCAGAGCTGAGGAGCCTGGAGGGTGGTCACCGTGGTGAGGCTCCCTGCCCGTTCAGCTGAGGAGCCAACAGCCCTCCTGAGGTCACTTGTCCCCTCCTGCAACCTCTCTGTGCTTCACAAAAATACAACGGTGTGCACTCAGCAGAGGCGTACTTGTCACCCTTTTCCCGTTCTCAGCCTGGAAAAAAAGAGAAGCCTCTTACCTTCTGTCCAGTGGTTCCTGAGCACTTCCTCAACATTTCATAAGGTGTTACAGGCCTTTCCTGCCATGTTACTATGTCTGCTTTGCTGAAAGTGATGTTGGAAGCAGCAACGAAGTGGAAGCTTTTTTTCAGTGATGGAAATTGTCTGTATTGGAGTCAATAAATAAATCAGAATTTGCTTCCTGTGACCTTTAAATCATGAGTTTCCCTGTATCAAGAGGTGTCTATGACACCATTTGTGCCTTAGCTTGGCAACTGGGTGGAAAAGCAATCTCATTTTCCTGGGCTGATTCATAGGTCCCTAATGACAGGTTACATGTTAACACTTGTTTTCAGCAATTATCATGCAGTTGTGTTTTGACTGGGACCTGTCTGCAAACATGAGTGAGAAGAGCTTCAGGCTAAAGCCCAATAGTGCAGCAATGATACTTTTTGTTTGCCTGTTTAAAAACAGTTCCCCCACAGTTGTTTTAGTCCTTTTCTAAAGCGAATAGATCAGAGGTGATTGTTCTTTGCTTGTTTTTTATTCTGTTTCAATGCATTTAACAATGCTTTATATAGCATCAGTTTTGTTGCTGCTCCATCATTACAATTATTATTACTATAGGGCATAAAGTATCAAACTCAGATCACAGTCGTATTGTGTAGGAACCGTATAAATGTGCAGTAAAGAGAGAGGCTCTGTCACAAAGTGTTAGTAGTGTCTAGAGAGACGAGGCAGAGAAGAAAAGGCATGATTCAGCAATGTGTCCCTGTTGTACAAAAGCTCAGTTGCAGAGTCTGATACAGAGCAGTTCTTCAAATGGGAAGGGACATGTTTCTTGTGTACAAGGTTGCAGGATGAGGAAAGATGAGCTCTTATCTCCCTTCTAGAGATTAGCACCTTTAAAATAGACTGGTCTTGCATGTGACCGAGAAAGAAGTTCAAGCATCTAGGTAGTTAGTCAGAGGTCCCTTTCTACCCTGATGGGGCCAGAAATTTGTGTAGTATTTAAGAAGCACATTCAGAGTCAGTGTGATAGTCCTCATTGTTTCAAGTCTTACTGAACTTTAAGGATTTGCACTGCACCTAAGAAATCTGTTTTCCCAGCAGCTGGGGGGGGAAAGTGGGAGGGTTATTGTCCTTAGCAGAGGGATTCTCCGATCTTTGCTGCAAACAAGCAGAAAAAAAATGCTGTTTCCCATCAGAGGCGAGTGAGTGGTCTGTCTCCGTCTCAGATTCAAGATCTCTCTTCACTGCCACTCGAGGTTGTTCCAGTTCCAAGTGACCAGTTGTTTCTGTATTCCTCAATCTAGGAAGCTGGACAGCCTAGAGATGGTGAAAGTTTTGTGATGGATTGGCATCCTTTGGATGAAGAAAGTGTTAAGAGTAGCCTTTGCCACCGTCTTTGAGCTCAGATGCGTGTGTGTGCCAATTTAAAGCAGAATGATGCTGGCTCACTGACATTGCTCTTTCCTGTTTCTTTACAGCTCCTGTATGACAATCCAAAAGCCCGTCAGGAAGTAGAGTATCATTGGAGAGCATCAGGTTGTCCCCACATTGTCCATGTCCTGGATGTTTACGAGAATATACATCATGGAAAGAGATGCCTCCTCATTGTGATGGAATGGTATGGACCAGCAGCAGCCCCCCACCAGGGGCTTGAGGGGGTGGAGAGAGGGGGAGAATGTGTTGGTTTAGATGAGATTTAGGTCAGCTTTCTCAGCAGCATGATTTTGGTTTGCACAGCAAATCTTTTGTTGTCTTTATGGAACTGGTAGGGAAATGTGTATCTGCTCCAGCCATCTTGTATGATGGAAAAATGAGGAACCTTAACCAGAAAATAAATTTTCCTTGTACTCCATTGCAATTGTCCTCATTAAAGCCTTGACTAATTAATACAATCTTGAAAGATATGTCTCTACAAATATGATATGCTTTGATTGTGATTGGCTTCCAATTTCAGTTGTTAATCCAATGGTCTGACATGATCCTCTTTGCTACTATTTTGACTTTTAACTTTTCCTATTCTCTCCTTGATCTGTAATACCATGATTACTGCCTTCTTCACTGGGGATAAATTAATAATCCTTTTCAGTGTATTTGCTTCCTTCTTTCTTTTTTCTTCATCTCCAATCCTTAGATAAAATAACACTACTGTCAGACTCCCAGTACCAGCATATCTGACTTCCCAACTATGTGTGTGATATTCCTTGTGACAGAGTACATTAACTGAAATCATCAAAACTCTTTGGTCTTGTTCTGTTTTCTATTTATTCCATATGACAATGTGCATTGATCCAAATGAGTGTGGTGTTTAGGAAGCATTGGCATAGAAGACAGCCTGTAATCTCTTCTAATCTGTTCCTGCCATGGTTCTGTGCACAGTCAGGTGTTAATGTGAACTCTTCTGCTCATATAAGGTGGGGGATTTATTTGTGTTCTTTGTTTCAGCATGGAGGGAGGAGAGCTGTTTAGCAGGATCCAGGAGAGAGGAGATCAAGCTTTCACTGAGAGAGGTGAAAAATTGCAAGTTTAATTTTGAAGTTTCTTAAAGATTGCTTCTTCCTTTCTCTGTGCCTCGCTTAGTTCCCTTGCAGGAATTTTTCTTTGATTTAATTTTTGTTTGTTTGTTTTAATTTTCTATCCAACTCTCTATTAAATTTTCTGTCCAACTCTGTTATTTTTTAAAGTTCTGAAGTTTTAAAATCAGGAATTACCAGAATTGGCCAAGTTCAGGAACAATGTGTAAGGTTTAGAGGAAAATTCTTCATACAAATCTGCTCAGCTTCTTCATCTCTGAAGCACTGCAGCCTCTGTTACTCTAGTCCCTGGTCTCCTGCCAGACCACCTCTAACATGATCAATGCAGCTCCTACTGCGATTTCTCTTCTGGCTGCCCCTCAAGCAGCATCACTCACTGGGAACAGCTATACTGTTAGGTGATGAATACAATGAGCAAATCACATTTGATGAAACATCTCTTATTCAAGGGTTTTTGAGCACTACTTGAAAGGAAGTGTTATTAGCCACACTGTAAACAAGCCTGCTCATCTGTAATAGGAACTATGTGCAAGTTCAAAGACCTGCTATGAGTCAGTGGCAGAGCTTGCAGCACAGTCGTCTTGCCATTTTTATTGTCTTTGCAATTTATTATTTGCAGAGTACCACAGGTGTGCTTGACTGTGGTTCTCCTTGCTCATTCACAACAGACAAGAGCTTGTTTCTGCTCAGGAGTAAAAATGTTAGTGCTTGTAACTAGAATCATGACAAAACTATTATTAGAAGAAAATCTTACTATGACTGGTTTGCAGGCCTGGTATAGAGGCAAGGCTTTTTCTGATCCTGTGTTTCCTAGCCTGGAATGAATCCTTTATGTGGTATGAGACTTGTGTAGGGAAAACAAGCGCTTATTTTCAGGAACTTTATTTGTTCCTCTCTAAAATACAAGATTCCATGGGGGAAACTGGTTCTGTGATCATTAGTGACTCCACTCTACTAAAAATGTGATTTTTCTACATTAAGTACCATTGTATAACATTCTAAATACTTACTCAGAAGCCATCTGGGAGTGTTAAACAAAAAAAAACACCTTAATTTTTTCCTGAGATAAATGAGCCCTGTTCCACTGAATTCCCCAGGTTCACTGGCAGTTTATGTATCAGCCACAACTTCCCATTAGGAGCCAGGATTTTTGGCCTGGTCCAGGAAGGAGAAGGGTTGTGCAAGGTTTTATACAAAGAAGATGAGTGTTTCTGCCTTCTGATTTTCCTTGCCTGAGATTGTGTAATTTCAAGTCATGTGAAGAAGGATTTCAGGTTACACTACAAGAATTTCTACCTTTTCTCTCACTACTGCAGATGAGGTTTCTACCTATGCAGAAAACAGAGGATCAGGTTGAAGTTGCTAATTCTATTTTCTTGTCAAAGGAGATAATATAATGCTCATTTAATATATATAATATACTCTATAATATAGTGGAGATAACATAATGCTTACTTAGTACAATGGGAATGTCACTCCTCCCTGCTGTGAAACCTCTCCCTGTGTAACTGAACTCTTCTAGAGTTCACTAGTACTGATGCTGCAAGGCAGATCACCAACCACTAGAATTTCCCACTGGGGTTATGTTAAATTTTAGAAACATATTATTTCCAAGGTGGCAGTTTGGGCTTTGCAGAATAGAACTGTTGATTTTGTTTCTCCCGAGGAAGAACTTCTAAAGACAGTGAGGAATTAAGATGTGACCTATCCTAAAATTACTATATTGTTATGTTGCTCTATTTTTAGAAAATCTGTTAGATCCTCCTATTACTCCTGAACTAGAAGCTGAAAGTTAAACTTCTGTTTCGGACAACCAAGGACATGTCCTGGACAATCAGGGATATGTCCTGGTTGGGGCTCCTTTCTCCACAGTCTTCATGTTGCTTGCGTACCTGCTCTGCTCTTGCTGCTTTTCTGGTGAGCAAATTAAAGCACAGATTTACAAGCTCATAAAAAGCAGGAGTCTCAACCATTCAGTTGCAGTGCCTGCTCAGGAGGAGGGCTGAGCAGCCGGGGAATTGGGGGGGTATGGTTGCCTGCAAAACCAAAACACAGCTGTTAGGGCTAATTTTAGGTTTTCTAGTCTTGACGCTAGCCCTGTATTCCAGCAGGCTGTTTGTAAGTCATAAGCATTCCCAAGCATGTCCCTGACTTACAGTGGGAATGTTAATGTGACCTTTCTCTAAAATTATATTTATAGAGGCCTCTGAAATAATGAGAGACATCGGAACAGCCATCCAGTATCTGCATTCAATGAACATTGCCCATAGAGATGTCAAGGTGAGGCCTGAAGGGGTGTGGGCAGGGAGAAAAGAGCATAAGGCAGAAAAACAAATGGGCAGTGGTGGTTTAAATAGAACTAGGAGTACAATCAGATGGTCAAAGTGTTCCTATTCCTCTGCCAGTGTGAGGAAGGGATCTGTTCACAACTAGTTTGCAACTAGTCAAAGGTCAGAATATTCATGTATGCGAATGCATTCCGGTTGTGTACTAATGCAAAAGAATCCGGTGATAGTTGGATGGTTAATTAAAGAGGTAGTACCAACTTGCAGTCCAGTTAATTAACCAGAAAATAGCACTGCCTGAAGTGAACTTGTACTAGATGCTATACCTCTGTGTATGGTCTTTGCCAGTTATTAGTAGTTTTCAGAATCATACCCACACCACCCCCCGAAAAAAAAACAACAAAACCAACACCAAAACCCCCTTCAGAAACAGGAGAAATAATACCAATTCCATGCATCCAACCCACTTTAATAGTATATGTAAATATTGGGAAAATTGGAAGATCTCAATTACTAACATGTGGAACAGTTTGCTTTATTAGCTAGTTTATACTCAGCTCTTGTTGTAGAGATTTGACAGGGTTTGTAGTATTGTATTTTGGTTTAATTCAAACAAAGTCAAGGTAGTTGCACCAAGGCATCTCTAGCGCAGCCATACGACAGTGTGATGGAATGTGCTGGGTGGAGAGTAGGTCACATAATGATAGACTGAGGCATCTGATTGATTCTGCTGTTCTGAGTTTGTGCATTTTCTACAGATGCTTCTGTGTGTTTAGCTGGAGGGAGAACTGCTGTTTCTTGGTGTCACTGAGGGGTGTGTTTGAGAGTTCTTTAGGTAGGAGCTAGAGAGTGACTTAACAGTTCAGAGACTAAAAATCTATTCACTTTTATGGAGCTATGTGTCATTGCCTATCACCAGCACAGAAATGGAAGCGCATAGACAAACACCCCCTACATACACTCAGTGAACTAACACAGAAATGGTTCAAATTGCTTAATAAATCCTAAATCCTGGGTTTTTTTCATCAAGCCCTTCCTTCTGTATGTCCCTAAACACCACCAAGAGAGAGGGCAAAGCTTCCTTGTGACTGAAAAACTGGAAGACAAGTTTGAACAATTGCAGGTTCTGGAGATGTGCCGTTGTCCCTGTTCTTGTTTACAAGAGCTTTTACTTCCCTCTGTGCCACTTCTGGCTTTGGAGAGCCTTTATGGAGCGTGGAGCAAGAGTGGAATCAACTCAGGTTTCAGGAGACAGAGGAGGGGGGGAGCAGGAAGGGGACTGTGTATCAGTTGATTCTGATGGAGTTATGTCAGTTGCTCCTTGAGAGTTTTAGGACTTCTCTTGTCTTCTGCCTCAGCTACTTGAGTGCAGTACGAAGTGCTGTCAGATCAGCTGGTGTTGATCAGACAGAACAATCCTTGTAAGTGCAGTGACCTAGAGAGAGGTTCAAGAAGCCAGACTTGACCCTCATCGGACCCGATGAGACTCTTGTGATTTGCTCTCCTAAATACCATGTTGAGAAGGATGTTGATTCTTAGTGTGAGCAAAAATGCTACATGTCAGGAGGGAACTTTCTGCCTGGTGTGGTGGGGATGTGAGAGAAGTAAGAATATGCAGATGTTGGTGGTGATCCAGGCAAGTGGGAATAGTTTGACCTTTCAGCTCATTAGAGACATCTCTTCATTGTCCAGTTTATCCTTTCTCTTGGTGACCTTTCAGCCTGAAAACTTGCTTTACACATCTAAAGAGAAGGATGCTGTACTCAAACTCACAGACTTCGGCTTTGCCAAAGAAACCACTGTACAAAACGCACTGCAGACCCCCTGTTACACTCCTTATTATGTGGGTAAGTCATCTAAGATGCATTACTTTTGTGTTTCAATCTGTCATCTCTCCCCTTATAGCAGGTCTGTGGGCTGTAGGAATGGATGGAAAATCTTCTGTTGTGGATGTAATGCAGAGAGGTAGCCTGCAGAATTTAAACTGGGATCCAGTCCAAACCTAGTCTGGTTTCAGTACAGTTCAGTGCTCCTGCTTTCTTCCATGGTTGCAGAGGAAACAGCCTTAACAGGGGATGCAAATGAGAATCAACGAGAGAGAACATGTTGCTTCTGATTACACTTGAAGTAATCCTGATGTTTCCTCTGAATGATGCAATAAAAGCCATAATTTGAACTCAACTTCATGATTATTTGGGTGTTTCCTTGTAACACTTCCCTTAGCTTAACTAATGCAATAAAAGAGAATGGGGAGAGTATTGCCTCAGCTATAAAGCTTCTTAAAGCTGGCAAATGGAGGAATTAGCAATAAAAGACCAATGTGACTTAATCACAGCTGAATTTTTGCCTGCAATGTGTGCAAAGACAGAGCACTGTGTAATGAAGGCCACATCAGACTGTCCTTTATGCACTCATTTTAGAGTGTGTCCGTTTTGGTCTTTGAGTTAATAGTCATTCACCATATGGTATGACTGAGGCAGTCCATGCTTGGAATGTCTTTGGAGGAAAAAAGGACAATTTTTTTGAATAATTGGTTCTCTTCTACAATGTAAGTTTTTATATTTTTTTGTATTGAAAGATACTGTTATTCACTGTTAGCAGATAATTACCATAGCACTGTTTTTTTTCTGATACTTTCTTCTATATTTCTGTAAACCAGGATTAGTGATAAAACATTAAGGAATTTATGCATATATGTTTTTATGCCTTTGTTTTTGTATATAGACAAGCTGACATTTCCCTTCTCAACACCTTTTTATAAACCAGCATGATTGCTCATATGTTTAGAGAATCATTTTCCTTACAAAATGAAGCTCCCTGCCAGTTCACCTGCCCCAGGGAAAAAAAAAAAAATCATCCCCTCTAAATGTCTCTCTCTATAATTTTGCTCTGGAGGCCAAAGAAAAATACATTGCTCTGGGTTGCTGGAGCTAAACACATTCCACCTAGGTATCGTTCAAAATTTTATCACAGCTCAAGTAGATCCTTTCTGTTCTGATTTCTCGAACATATGCTCCTGCCTCTTTCAGTGCAGTGTCTCCCTGTACACATTTAGCTATAGCTCCTTCTGCTTTTCTGTAATCTTAGTACTCTCTTAGGCAGAGAGACACTAAGGTGAAGAGTAGGGCATTTTGCCAGCTCCATTCCTCCTTTTTAAAGCTACATTAGATGTGTTTAGGAACTTGTCAATAGAAAATACTACCCAGTTCCTGCTATGAGTTGCATTTTTTTAATGCCTCTGATGTTTGTGGTTCAAGTATGTGATGGAGATGAAAGGAAATATCTGGGACTCTGTTAATTTCTGGTTTTAATCTTTTTTAGCCCCAGAAGTCCTTGGTCCTGAGAAGTATGACAAATCATGTGACATGTGGTCATTGGGTGTCATTACATATATTCTGTAAGTATTTGGAAAGAGGCTTGATGAACAGAAAAAGGACACATCTTGTTAAATCTGCACTTAGAAGTAATTAGTCGCTAGGATCATTCAAGCTGCAGAAGAATATAAACTTATATGGGACTTTGAAAGGACTTTGCTAGTTATAAGAGTTCTTTTGTCCACTCTTACAGCCTGTGTGGGTTCCCTCCATTCTACTCAAACACTGGTCAAGCCATTTCTCCAGGGATGAAGAGACGAATTCGGATGGGGCAATATGGGTTTCCCAATCCAGAGTGGGCTGAAGTATCAGAGGAAGGTAACAATGCTCGCTGCTACTGATGAGTATGTGCATGGTGTGCAGTGGTGGAGTGCTTGCAAGAGACTGTTTCTAAAAACCTGTCTTAGTTTCTGTTTCTCTTTCTTTTAGAATTTAAATTAATTTTTTGTAAGGTGATACAGAGAATGACTGGGAACTCAGATACTAGCCAGCAACCAAAGTATTACAGAAAGTAACTGACTACTGAAAACTTTCTTTAAAATTCCAGCTAGTGCTAGTGAATGCTGAGATTAAGCGCTCTGGAAACAAAAGTCCTTAATCCTGAGAAAGGAGACTGCCAGGACAGCTGCAATACAAGCTGAGTTGGAAGAAAGGCAAACTGTTTTAAGAACTCATTCAGGATTTGCCCTGCTTGGTGATACAGCCAGCAAGGATGGCAAGTTTTCATGCTAGGTTTTTGTGATGTGGGATCTTGCCAGCCACCACTTCAATCAAGGTCAACAATTTATTTTGTATAAGTCATTGACCAAAGCTGCTGCTGTTCAGCAGTGACCTGGATGGACTCAAACCAGTGTCCTGAAAGTGGATGGTTTTGATTCCCTCTTATTCTGACAGTTTCATAGGCTGGAAGTCTCATCTGCCCTTCATATTAGAGAGAAAGGTCAGCAATTTATGGGCACATCTTTTTCTCTAACAAGCCCTTTAAATTGCTGTGGCTAACATCCTGTTATTGTCTGCTGTTTAGCAATAACAAATTATCATTGGATAATACTGTGATCTGTGGCATTTTAACCCCTCATTGGATCTCATGGCTACATGTGCAGTACAGACTACTGAACATTAATAAAGGAAGATGTTTTACTTAGAGGTTTCTGGCTTAATATTTTGTCTGCCTTGGGTATTGTTCATATTACAGCAGTTATTAAAATGCTAGGGGAACTTGGTGAGAGAATGCTTGGAAAATTTGTAGGGTTTCTGTATGCTTGCCTGAATGAAAATAGGTGCCCTCTGTTTTTGAACCTATTAAGATCTGATAGTTCATGTGTATTCTTTTAGGCTGATCAGGCACCCTCAGCAGACTGCTTCTTTTTGCCCTCGTTTGTACTGTTCTTTTCATAGTTTTCTTTATATAATCGTTGTGGTGTTTCATCATCTGTGGAGGCTTTCTCTAAATTGCCCTCCAGCTTCCTGTAATCATCTTAACAGGCTCTGTTTGTGGTCCCCTCCTTTTGTTTCCTTGTCCATTTTAGACTCCAGGTAATTTCTCCTGTAAAACTCCTTTGTGGCCTCTCTTGACAAGCTAAGTCTCAACTTGTAGCTCTGGCAGCTTCTTACAAGCATTTAGTCATCTTGCATCAAATGTGTCTAAAAAAGCCCTCTTATTCAGAAGTTTTTCTAGGTTCCCCCTAAGGAAGTTATGTGTGAGGCTTTCTAAATAAAGTCCCTTGAATGTAGTGTTTCCAGACTGTCCACCCGCATTAATGAAACTCCGGTCTAGACTCTCTTATCTCAGTTACTTAGTATTCTTGCACTGGCAGATACCATGTTCACAGAAAGCTACTGCAAAACCTGTTTGTACAATCCATTTCTTTGACTTTGTCCTTTTAGTGGCCTCTCAGTCATCAAAGAAAAGTTTATTGTCCTTTTTTTTTTTCCACAGCCTGTACTAGTTTTTGTCTTCTATCATTTCTCAAAATACCAGTTTATGCATTCATTCAGCCTATAATGGCAAGCATGTCACCATCTTTCAGACAGGCAGCTTAACAGCTTTCTGTTCCTGTGTTTCTCTTTTTCTCAAGTTCTTGCTCTCAAAACAGTTGGTTTGGTGATGTAGATGGCATAGCTGGATTTCCCAATCCTTTGTCTTTCCTTCTTACCTCTTGTTGTGGATGTTTCCCTGTTCTGCCTCTTTAAACATAGTAACCTACCACACTGTACATGGCTTCTTAATATGGTAACAGCAACAGGTATGTGTTTTGAGTTCTGCAAAGTTATCTTTCTTCAGTCAGCAGGTCTTGGTGTCCTCAAGGTTACTTGAGTAGTAGACTACAGCATGCCATGTTGGTCCTGTTTTTCAGCCAAACAGCTGATTCGCCATTTACTGAAGACTGACCCAACAGAGAGGATGACGGTTTCTCAGTTTATGAATCATCCTTGGATTAATGTGAGTTTCATATCTCTTTATACAAGATGAATTCTAACATGCAAAACATTCTAACATGCACAGCAAGAGAAGGATGGTGATTACTGTTAATAACTTAATTAACCTAACGTGCCCTCCACAGAGGGTCATCTGCCTGTAGAACCACAATTCTTTTTGGTGTTACCAGAGGACACTAAGAGAGAGACACCCACAATAGCATCCTTGGAAGCAAAAGCTGAATGTATCTATATCTTCTGTGAGCATGCAGTCACTGTTGACTCTGCAGCATATGCATGTGTTACTCTCCTTAAAAATATAAAAATAAACTGTATGTACTTACTTCATCAGTGCAGGATTTAGAGAGCTATTATTGGTGGTCTCAGGCACCATTGTGCTTAGCTGTGTTAGTGTGAACACAGTCTTCTGCTTAGTGGGAATTTTCATCCTTGGCAGAGTTTGGAAATGCTGGGGGGAGGAGCAAGGGTCTCGGCTTAGTGCCTGGTAAGAGGCTGACGAATAGCATGGTACACAGAGTTATTAATGGTCCCAGTTCAGGTTACGTTCTATGACTTGGTTGAGTTTACTTTTCCTTAAAAAAATGGGTTTTGGGAAAAAAGAATAAAAAACCCTAATAATACAAAACTATTTCAGACAAGAATCCCAGGAGATACCAGGCTGAGTTTCAAAGTATCTTCTCTGCTTTGTAGGTGTCACTCAAAATAATACATTATACTTCTCTTATTTGTGCCTTAAAGGACACCAGTTTTATTCTCACTGCCCAAAAAATCATCAGCCAGGAACAGAATCACTTGAACTGTAGAATGCCCTTTTATCTGTGTATGCTGATCCTCAGAGGAAGGGGCAGAAACAGAGGCATGGTTAACAGTCAGCATTTCTGTAATGCCTGCTTGAAGATCTGAAAGCTCTTAGAATCTTATAGTAATGTAGCTGTGTAACATCCTGATGAAGCAGATGTCTTCATTTACAGTTGTGAAATCTGAGAAATTAAGGTAACAAAGACTCTGTAGAACTAGAACGTAACTTAGACAATGTTTCTAAGTCTTTTTTAACCAAATAAAAATGTGATCGCTGTTCAGAATACCTCCAGCTTTAAGTGTTTGAAGACCCAAGAAGGAGGTGTTTCAGGAGTCAGCAGGCGATGAATTTTAACAGAATGAGTGCCTAATAGCTAAGGAAGCTACCACCTACAGCGACACATGTTACTTGAAATATGCATATAACCAATTAATGAGGAGGAGATTAGAGACAAGGTCTATAGACTGCTGCACCAAAGAGCTGTGCTAGAATACTGCTCCTGGAAGCATGCTCTAGGAGCTGCAGATTGGCCTGCCTTTCTGCTGAAGCTATTGTTCCCATGAGGCAGAGGGAGGGAGAAGGAAAGACCAACATAGTGAATGTCTGTGTCCTTCCTTTTTAAATATCCCTGAATGTGAACATATATGGGGAGATGCCTTGCACAAGTAGTGGAGGAGAGTGCTTGTCTCTCCTATTTTTTCCTTCTTTTTTAATTAGATAGATGGCAGAAGTATTATTGTGGACTGTGCAAAAATTATCAATTTGGATGGAGCACATAATCCTCTAGTTAGCTTGTAGGTAAGATTTTTTTAACAAGGAGCAGCTCACAGCAGATAGGAGGGCACCTTCAACACCTGCTCAGGGGCACCACTAAAGCCAGCCTGCTGGTTTTCCATTTCTCTTGTCCCAGCTGTACTTGATAAAACTATACCCTGGCCAGCTGGGTTCTTTTTCCAGGGGCTGCAGGCATCATGATTTCTGTTTCCATTTCTGTAAATACTGAAGTGCTGCTGTTAGCTCGGTGGAGTATAAGCACTGCTTCCGATGTAATGCTTATTTTACAGTGACATGTACAGGGATCTCCTTAGACTTTGCTGACATGCAGCTGTCTTTGGTGTAGGACACCAGAGTAGTAAACAGCAAGTTTGGGTAGAAAGTGTAAGGAAGATAGAATATCCAAGTGAAATTATAGTTTGGGTTATGGACTGGCAAGAAATACCATGATTCTTGCTGAATTTAGCTAGGGAACTGTGCTTTGTGCTTTAGAAATTGTACCTTATTCTAATTTAATGTATCTACTGATCTTTCATGGCAGGTGAGCATAGATCTCAGTTTTATGTGGAAGAGCATCTCAGGTGATGCACAGTCTTCTGGACTGTGCCTTACTCTGAATAATGGTATCATTTCCTCTTTTGGGCATACTTAATGATCTGATGAACTGCTAATCTCAGTTAATGTATATGTACAAGAAAATTTCTCCTACAACAAATCCTGGAAGATAAAGGTCAAATGAACCACTTTAAAACATTGACTAATGAATAATGAAATGATAGTTAAAATCTAAAATGTACATAAAAATTCATCCAACACAGTGTTATTGGTTGGACTGAACGGGAGCAGAGTGAAAGAAACTCAGTACTGATTTCTCTCTCCTTTTGTTCTTTAAAGATACTGTTGTGTGGGGACCATAGTCCTTTTCTACCTCACATGAATTCGCTTGTGGAGTGATTGGAAACGTGACTAATGAGGGCCACCAAAGGACATTAGATAAAGTTTTATGCCCTCCATACACATAGAAGAGCAAGCAGTCACTTTCCAAATGTGATTTTGCAGAAAACTTCTTTTGGTATTTTTCCCTTTCGTTAGAGATCAATGGCAGTGCCACCAACTCCTCTTCATACCGCACGGGTCCTGCAAGAGGATAAAGACCACTGGGATGAAGTTAAAGTGAGTCAATCATAGTTCAGATTTCTTGAAGTCAAGTCTGGTAAGAGATTAGATGGGATGGCTTCTCTGCATATGCTTATTTCCTTGGGGATTGTCACCAATTTGAATACAACCATATAAAACAAGGAAAGTAAAAAAAGTCTTGGTTGGAACAGTAGTGTATATGATAACTGTTAAACAGAAATAAAAATACAACTATTTGAGCTTCATCTGACACCTTACAGCTGTGCCAAATATCAACAAAGCTGGTGTTTATGATCAAAGATATTAATGATGCTGCCTGCTAAGCCACTGTATTAACCACAGAGGAGAAGGGACAGTGTTGAGTGAGTTTGAAGTTCATTATATTGAAGTGAAGTATGATGAAAATATAGGGGGACAGGGTGGAAGGTTGAGCTGCATTCTGTTTTTTTGCTCTGTTCTTGTATTGCTAAATAACCTTAGCCTTGTCTTGCTATGACATTTGGGAATGGGAGGCAGAAAAAGATCTGTCTTTCCTTTAACCTAACCAGGTGCCTCGCCTACTGTCTGTACTGATGACAGCTGAATACTTCCTGCAAAGTGAAACTATAGGGCAGACTAAAAGTTGTTTGCAAGCTTTAACCCTTTCCTGCTGGCCTTTATCAGTTTGGCATGCTTTTACAATTAATTCTGAATTTTCTGCACTTACAGTGCTTGACATTTTGACGATTGCAACATTCCTGTAGTGTATTTTACAGATTACTGATTTTATTTAAATTACTGATGTGTAGTCTCAGCTGTTGAGCTATGTAACGGTAAAATTTCATAGGACCCAGGCAACATTTGCATCCTGAGTCAAAGAAATCAAACAGATATTTTCACTTAGCCTTCTTCATTTCCATGTTTCTGAGAACTTCTTATGCTTGTGCTTTGTATAGGTCCCAGAGGTATTCCTTTGGGCCACTGACATTCCCATATTTAATCGTTTTTCCTTTCCTTAACTAAATACTTAGACATTCATTTACTTAAGCAGGTTTTTGTTCACAACCTTATTAAAAAGTTTAAAATTCACCTGCACTTAAACATTAATTCAAACTAAAGAAGCATGTGAATTTGAAACACATACTTTTAACTGTGTGAACTCTTTATTCTAGTTCCTGCTATCCTGTTTGGTAACAGAGCAAGGAAAGCAGTCTTCCGAGTCTGCTGTGAGAAGCCCAGATTCAGTAGCTGGTGAAGGCCCAGAGCCAGCCAGTATGAAATGCTGGGCATAGGGACATGGTAGAATTTAGGTGAGCAGAGTGTGGTTCTGCATGATCACATATGCAACACTGTGTGAATAGTTCCTCCTGAATGAGTCCATGAATAGAACGAAGCCTTTAGTCATAGTGCAGTGCAGCAGAAAGGGCCTGGCTATTTCTGGCTGTAGTGTAACAGAGGGTTCCTTTTTGTATATTCATCTCCTGGCAGTCGTCTGGGGTGGCTGTGCGCTCTCTGCCTTGGGGTTTTCAATAAATTGCTTCCTTGGTTTCAGGAGGAGATGACCAGCGCTTTGGCTACCATGAGGGTGGACTATGATCAGGTGAAAATCAAAGACTTGAAAACATCCAACAACCGCCTCCTGAACAAACGCCGAAAGAAGCAGAAGCAGGCAGGCACCTCTTCTGCAGCCCCAGGGTGCAATAACCAATGAGAAGAGAAGCCAAGGACCTGTGGGTAGAGGGTAGAAGTTAAAAGGAACAATTTAAAATCAGTACGATCAACTCAGTCTGTACCACAAAGGCAGTGAGACTGTGAAGAAGCTATCCTGCAAAGAGGGAGCAGTGTGAAAGATTACATTTTGATAACTTGAATCAGGGCTTTGCTTTTAAAGGCTAACGTTTATGACATGATTCTGTTGCATATTGCTAGGGAAGGTACAGTAATACCGGAAATGTTACGGGGTTTTGTTTTGGCTTTAACTGTATTGGACAAGAGGAGAGAACAGGAGGCAGTCTCAGCATACTAATGCACTGCAGCTTTAACAGCCATCTACAACAGTAACTTCTGGTGCCATTTTAAACTTGGGAATAGAAAAATTGCTGAGTGTTCTGCTAGGAGTGTTTTAGTAGTTCAAACATGAGTACTGAGAAAAATGTCACTGCTCTTTATACATAAAGTAGCACAGGTGCAGTTCTATTATGGATGCATCTGGACAGCATTTCATGGTAGAATTGGTAATAGTCAGTATTTCCAAACTTACCTCCTATAGTTACAGGTAAATCACATAAACAATAAACAGTTATTCCTGTTACAGGAAAAAGTATCCATACATTTCCATTTTCATGAAGTCTTCATGTAGTCTCATGTGAAGATTTGAGTTTGTCATGGATTCTTATTTGATAACAGGTCAGTTTTCTAAACTGTAACCATTATGTTGTGTCTGTGTTACTGTCAGATCCCTCTCTTGTCATGTTTGTAATTTAAACGGTACTTCATATGAAGAGTTTTAATAAGGATTTAGCTAGTTGAAAGTATCCTGCAGAGAATATTGCTGTTCCTCTTGGACCCACAACCTCTAGGGCACGCAACTGGACTTGCAATTGTGTACGAGACTGCTCTAGAAGAGAGACTTCTGAGATTCACGATGAAGTGGCAACTGCATGTTCTCTGAATGGACCCTGGTGTTTGCCAGCATCCCTTCTGGTAATTATTTCCAGATCCTGTGCCTAAGATGTGCTGATCATAGCAAATTTTGGGGTGATAGGGTTGGTTTGTTTCCTGGGGTCAGGGAGGGGGAGGATGCCACTTTATTTGCAGTGTTTTGTCAATGTTTCTGGATCCAAAGATTTTTGCTACCTAGGGCAGATTACCTATAAGTATATCCACCCATTTTTTTTCCTATTCTAATTCTTGTTTTATGGGATCCTAGCCTTGGTTTGCTAATTTGTTTTACTTTGTGATCAAAATATTTCCTCTCACTGTGTTTTGGGTTTTTTTTTAGTTGAGGTGAAGCAAATATTTGTGAAAGTATTATCAGAGTCTAGGATGAAAATTATGTGCTTCCACTGATGCAGGCAAAAACTACTTTGTGGTAGGTGCACAGAGTACTGGTGTGTTAATAGGCTTGGAAGAATGTTAAAAGACGAAAAGGAAAACAAGGCTCTAGAGAGGATCTGAATCATCAAATCTGACTGCCGCATTGTGTTACCTCCGACAAAGATCAACTCAAGCCTTTGGACCTTGTCTGGGGAGCCCTGTTCCTATCTTCGAAGTGTTGGATGAGACCTCCATTTTTCTTTGTGAACTGGTCATAGGGTTTTATAAACTGATTTTAATAAATCATGTTATGACATTCCTTCCTTCTGTCATCCCTGGTTTTGTTGAGGTGTTGCAGAGTTTATATTGCTTTGCGAGGTACATCTGTGTTGAAGGTGATTGAAAGAAAAAGGAAAGAGTTCAATGATGTCCACATTCACAAGCTACCCAACTTTGATCATTTTTTAAGATTACAAGAGTTTGTTTTTAAATATCAATCTCTGCAGAGATGTATTTTAAAGTTATTTCATGTTTATCTAAGTATCTCTGATTATAGCATGTTTATTTTATCATATTACTGCTATGAATTATGCAAATAATGTTCACTTCCTGTAAATGATAATAGAATGAATGAAGAGTTGTGACACGTTCAGGGTGCAACAGCTGGGATTAGAGTCAGATCCAAGTTTCTGTCACTTTATCCAGATTTTTTGAGGGTGCTATGTATACCACATCCCATCCTGTCCCCCATCAGGGTGATACATGCTCCCACTGTCCCAGTTAATAGGGCAGCCTGTCTGTAATGTGGTGATGTCCTGGCTGCCTTGGGTAGAGCAGTCTTGAGGCTGTTGCAACCTTTTTCTTTTGCTTCTGTCTTGCCCAAATTTTGAGCAGGAACTCTGTTTCCAGCTGGTGCCTTCTTGCTTGTCAGTCCAGTCTGGAGCTTGCAGACTGTTCGTGAGCAGCATCCATGGGGAGCTCTAAAGCACCTTCCTGTGGGTGCCAGGCTGTACCGCACTGCAGCTCAGATGATGATGCACTCGAGCGCAGCACCTTCAGCTTTCAGCCCCTGTAGGGTCAGACAGTAAATAATTAAACTTGGACTAATGGTTCTCGCATTCTACCCTGCAGTGACAACATCCAGGAATACTGTAACGCCCGGGGGGAACCTGAGGAGGGCCTCGGAATGGCAGACACGGCAGCGTGTGCAAGTATGGTCCAGAAGCGTTTGCGCTTGTTTTACAGCTGGAAGGAGGCAGCTCCCTGCGGGCTGGGGGGAGCGCAGGGCCCCTCGGGCCGCGGCCCTGCGCTGCTCTAACGCGGCGGACTCCGCGGAGGATCTGCCCGGGAGCGGCTCTGGGGGCTGTGCGCCTTGTCACCCTGGCCGGGGGCGCAGGCGTTCCCGTTGGCCCATGTTTAGACAAAGGCGCTTTTGAGAAAAGGAAGATTTAGTGAGGAGGAGAGAACCAAAGCTCTTCATTCCTTGCACATAATCATAAGTATCTGTACTGTTTTTAACCTGTGTTAAAGGTAGGGAGGAGGTGTTAATCTGTGTCTAGCTGCTTTGATATAGCTGCATGCTTAGCCTAAGGATGAAGCCATCCATGGGAGCTAGCTCAGCTGTACATAATGGGAGAAAAACTTGTCCTTGAGGACGCACCCCACCTCATTCACCAGTGCCCTTTCACACTCACTAACAAACCACGGGGACAAAGGGAGCAAAGGCAAGCAGGGAATGAATTTACATTAGGGAGAACTCATTTCTTCCAAGAGTATGTGTTTTGGAGAGTTTCTTGTGGAAATACCAGAATTCCTTTTTTCCTAGATTGCAGTAGTTCCCCTCTTCACCTGGCTGTTCTCAGTAGTGAAGCAGGCATAGCTGAGAATGACCATAGTTAATTCTCTTTTAGAGAGCTAAGCAAAATAAAGGAAGCAAACTGGGAAGACAGAGAACATATACTTGAAACCTCAGAGAAAAGAAAATACTTTAAAAATTTCTTGCAAGCTAGCAAGCCAGATTACTTCAGGTACATACTGAAATGCACCTCACATCTGGAAAATTGAGGTTAGAGCAATCCTAGGTGATAACATTTCCTAAAGAAATGTTTCCCTGAAATCTTAACACTGGGTAAGAAAATGCTTTTTGAGTATTAAGTACAGCTTTCAAATAAGATTATTTTTTTTTTAGTCTGTATGGTTAGAAGAATTTAATGGGGCAAAGGGAGTAGAAATGAGGGATGATATGTCATGTTGAAGAATAAGATAAATTATTGTTGTATTCTACTCCAACTTATTTTTTTACTGCAAGTGCTACCTCTGTGCAGACATAGCAAGATAGATTCAACTTTTTATTAGTCTTTTACCACTGGAAAAGGAGGATGTTCCTGCACTCTAGGGAAATATGGAAGATAACCCTTTGACTGTAGATGAACAGCTATATTGGTAAATCTGTAAATGATGCCTAGCACTAAATTTATTTTAAAATTTACTGTCTCATGAATCCGCCAGGTACCAAGATCTTACAGGTCTGCTCTAACTGCATAAAGGCACAGAGGCATCATCGTCAGTGGGCTTCCTCGTACTACTCGAGACCGCAAAAAGAAGCAATTGCTGAAATGCACTGCAGCACTTCTAGCTTCCAGGAGCCAAAAGAGAAAAAATGCAGTTTTCAAATAGCTGGAGGTGACATGAAGGGCCAGGCTAGTTTTTGTCTGGGGAGGGGTGGTACTTGAAGATAGTATACAGGTGTCTCTATCTTGCTTCACTTCAGCTTCCAGATCTGCTAATGAACATGTCTTAGGTGTGTGGGGCTGCAGACCCAAGCTTCTGGTAAAGTCTCTGCTGCTTTGAAGGCATGCTGAGTTTTTTCCACCGTTTGCCACTGAAATGTACTTATTTGATCTATGCTTGCAAACAGTTTAGCATTCTTGGTCCCACACCTACAATGAAGCTGAATATTTTAAAAAAGGAGTTGCATCCTTTTCTTCCATGTTAAGCTTCTAAATTTATTTCTCTTGAATTTCATTGCATTCAAGTTAATTACTGGTATTGCTAGTATGACAGTTGTTTCATATTGTACCACCTTTATTTGTTAACAGTCAGTATAAGTGCTTCATTTTGGGAATGTGTCTTTTTTGTCTTGGGAGTTTTATTCCAGTTTTCAAATTAAATGGCATGGTTATTTTGCCTAATGTTGTTCTCGCAAAACTTCCAGGCTAATCCATTTGGGAAACATGGAAGATGTTCTCAAGAGATTTCTTATTGCTTAGCTACTGAAACACCTGCTAAAGCTGAGCTTTTTAAAAAAACCCTGAAAATTATTTAAATGTGAAAACGAGTGGGTTGATTTGGAAAAGAAATTTCTCAAAGACTAAAATTAGAATGGAATGTGTTAGAAGAGAAATACTGGTGGGGGAGGAGGACTAAGGATTTTTAAAATAAAAATGCTACCACTTGAGTAATGATCAAGGAAATTCTGGTTAGGATATTAGCTGCTGCTCCAACCCAGAGCAGTTCCTGAATTCAGAAATAATTATGTTTCCCTAAAGATAGATGTACAATATGGACTCCATTTTTTTTTTCTGAAGTAGTCTAAAGCAAGGCTCAGCTTGATGTTTATAAATGAGACTTTTGAGTAAATGCTGTTAGTATACCAAATAAATGGCTCTTTTTTTTAGAGCAACTAACAACTGAACAAATATATGCTTTGCAGATTAAGTTCTGCTCTCCCAAAGTTGCCTGAGTGAACTCCTTTTCTGCTTGCAGAAACCTTGTCAAGGTGAGGTTAACTTTCTTTTTTGCTTTCAGACATTTTGCATTTCTATCTTGCACTTTATCACTGTGTGTTTGACTTTTGTCTTGAGTAAAAATCTAATTAGTTGTCTCAAGGCTAATGTTCCATGATGCAATGTTTTTTCTTTTTTGGCTCAATTACAGTTGTACCACCTCTTCTTTTATTTCTGAACTTCTTGTGGTGTAAAGTATTGGAAGATTTTCAAGGAATCCCACTACCCAGCAGGAAACAAGAAACTACAGTGTATGTGAAATGGTAAGGAGGAAAGTTCCAAGCATGGGTAATAGTAGGAAAAACATCCCTCTGAGGATAGTAGGAGACCTCTGCAAAGAAATGAACCCAACTGGAACTTAATAATTTTTCTTTCTGCTTGAGAATGGGCTGTGGCTATACTCTCCAGTATTTATGGGTGCTTCCTTTAGAGGTGACCCAAAGGGATGCTGGTCTTCTTTCATGGTCATAGAAGTGCCCTGCTTGATGGTGT